TCATAGAAGATCTACATGGCAATAAAATTGACTTTCTATTCTACCAATTAAATCTATCTAAAATTTTACCCGTCACAACGACAATGAGCATAAGCCTTGATAGCATGATTCAAAGTATATCTGCCTCCTGAGTGGTTATTATATGGCAAAGATTCTATTTCCATAATATTGTTTGTCTAAAAAGGAGATGGAACATCTAAAAGGGGCTTCTGCTTAGTTTTTACTATCTATAATAGCAGAAATAAAATCTCTTGAACTTTGCTTGTAACATTCTCCTATGTTATTTCCCTTTTTTTAACTGTGTCATTTGGCATAATATTATTTAAGCAATGGTCTTCTAATTTGAGATATATTGTATTAATAAATTTTGAAATTTCTATAAGAATCTTTTTAGGATAATAGGGGACTACTGATGATATTATAGATTTTAAGGCTATTTGATACATTTAATCTGCAGCCATACAAAGTGCCTAGTTCGAAGAAACCCTTTAACTACTGCTAATTATATTGCCTGATGCTTTACTAGCACGAGATTTAAAAATAGGGGATTTCTTAGTTGCTTCTTCTATTGGCCTCTTTTTCATTGGTACTTCACTTCGCTTCACTTTTTTTTTGATACATAGCAATTTCAAGGTTCGTCATCATTTTTATCAATATATTCAACATATTCAACATATTCATCATCTTCTTCTATTTCCTTTTCTTCCTCCTCACTAACTTCTTTCTCATCTATATATTCTTCTTCAAAATCTTCAGGTTCTTCTTTATCTTGGTATACATGATTAAGCTTTTAATTTGCTTAACTTCAGGCAATTAATCTTTGTATGGCCAGCCTTTTACAGACTAAGCAAAGATGAACAATTCGTTTAACTGGTGTTTTTGTACTATCTTTTTAACAGCTTTCTTTGTAGCATTTGTATTTTTAACCCCTAACTCTGAGAAGAAACTCCTTCTAACATGAGTCATTTTACGCTCTAACCTTTTACCAAGTTCATCATAAATAAAATTATCTAGAATATTAACATCTGATGCTAGTCCTATATATTACAAATCTCCTGCAAGCCATTTTATAAAAGCAATTGCTTTAAGTTTTTTATTTAATGAATCTTTTTGTGGTTGAGTACTAACTAGAGTGGAAGCTTGTATTCTTTTGCTTGCACTTTTATGCTATTTATTACGTAACTCAGTAAAAAATGCATTGACTGTAGCAGGATTAGCAATTCTAACTCTCATTTCTAAATCAGAAGGAAAATGATTAAATAGATAAGGTATGGTATCAGCATCTTGCATTGCTTGTACTAATGGTTTGATTCATTTTTCATAACTATCTGGGGTATCTGTTTCAAAGAACTTTTCATTAACAAGAGCAAATATAGCATTTCAGTTAGTCCCTACCATAACTTCTCAATATCTTTCACACAATCAGACTAGGAAGAGAGGTTCACTATTAATAAGTAGAGTAGCTATGGGATAAGGATTATTAACAGGAATAGGTGCAAACCTTTCAGTTATCTTATTTTTCATAATATTGCTTCTTACTTGCGCATTAAAACTGGCGACAGCTAATGGGTGTGTCATTTTATTTATATTTCTAAGCTTTTGGTAGTATATATCTGGAGGCTCTTAGCTATCATAATCAGGTAACTGTGCGAGTGCTAGAGAAATAGTATACATAACATCTTGAATAGTAGCTATATTTCCTGGAGGATTGTTTTATAAATTCAAAATAATTTGCCTCAAATTTAATTCCTTAGCCTTCCATTTTTCATATCGATCATATACTTGATCTCGATTATATTCTAATAATTCTATATCATTTCTGCTTTGATGATAATATCTTTTTAAATTCTGAGCCTGTTGAGTATATGTAGTATATCTTCTTTTCTATTAACATTTTTCATAAACATTTTCACATACCGTATCTCTAAGATTATTGATTTCATCATCTCTTTATTGTTGGGCTTGTCTTTCATCCCTCCATGCTTGCTCCATCATTTATACACTTTAAAGACAATCATTTCTAAAATTTGTCATATCATTCATAATCCTATTGATCTGCCTATGGGATGTATTAAGCAGACCTTGTAAGTTCGCATTTTCCTGAACATACCTTTGATTATGTTCTCGAATAGTTATTATTGAGATCTGTATTCCATTCAATGTATTTTTTGAGTCAAATGATGTATCACCATTGATATATCCTTTAATTTGATCTAAAGCTGTACCAATATTTCTTAAGATATCTGGTAGAGCTATTAGTGAACTATTTATTTGAGATAATTTTTTATCTGTAATCTTCTTAATTCGCTTTTTAAGCTATTCAACCATGTCTTCTAGCCTTAAAATATGAATATCTTGAGCAGTACTTGCATTACCTTTATGCCTTAAATCCTGTAATACTTTGTGAAGATGCTATTTAAGAAATTTTATCTTAGACTTAAGAGATGCTATCTCATCTTCATGAGCTAATATTGTTGAATCCTGGTGAGATAATGTCTTATAACAGTTTTCTAGCTCCTTAGAAAGTGATTTTAGCTTTTTATTCTTAAGTTTGCTTTTGGTTATTTATTTCTTCAATTCTTTGCGCAACTCTTTATTAGTATTTAGAATTTCTATATAAGCGGGATTATCTATGTTAATTTCTATTATTCAGATAAAATCAGATAAAGCTCAAAAACTTGATATTTCTATTGCTTTGCAGAAGATTTATTATTAGCCTTCAGACTATCAGAGAACTGCAAAAAAATTATACGAAACCTCTAAAAAGGTTGGGTATAATTTTTTACTTAATGAGATGCGTGACTAGCTTGAGAGACAGGCTGTTCACCAAATTCATATGCCTCATCCAAGATTTATTCAGTATGCCTTCTTTAATAATATACAATTTTTAAATGAAGTACATCAATCTGATATTACCCCTATGTCTCATGATAAAGTAGGTAATCAGATTTACAAGTATAAAGGTATTATTAAAGATATTGCAACTAGGTATCGATGTAATTTTACATTGACTGATAAATCTTATGCATAAATGGTTAAGAATATTCAGAAAATTTATGATGATCCTAAGGAGCCTTTCTCTTGGCTGAATTGTTTTAATTCAGATAAGGGGACAGAATATATGGGAGATTGTAAAAGTTTATTGCTTAAACATAATATAAAAATAAATATGCCAAAACTAAGAAAAGTAATGCTATAGCTGAATATGATCATAAAGAATTTGAAAAGCATTCTAGTATTCAACAAGATGCTATAGATTTTCTATTACCTTTATCAAATCATTTTAGAGATTGGGTTAGAAGTCTTCATGTTAATAATGATATATTTAATAATACTTCTACTTGAATTATAGGTATGTTTCCTAATAAAGCAGTAGAAAGAGAACTTAATGGAAAGAAAATAATTGCTAAGCCAGCCATAAAACACAGAAGATCTATTGGATATGATGAATCTTGTTTATCCTATTATAATTCTATGAGATATCTTCTTAAATCAAGAGAGTTAGAATATGATCCTGCTAGATGATATGCTACTAATATGAATTGGTCTTCTCAGGTTTATCATATTTGTAAATCTTTAGTACAAAAAAATCAGCAAGTCTTATACTGGCTAATAGATAATAAGAGCAATGGCCTGAAAAGATCTTTTGTAAAAGAGGAATTGATGGTTATTCCTGATACTGAGTTACCACTTTAGTGGGTACTTGTGAATTAAATTGATGACAATAAGTCTTCTATTTCTTCGTTAGCTTATACTTTAGTATTAAAATTATCCTTAGCTAATCTATAGTAAAGCTTATATGACTCCATAATAGAATTAAGATTTTCTGGATCTTTACCATACCAATCTTTATATTTACTCATAATTTTATTATATTTATCTTTATTGGAAAATATTGTTTGAGTTGATCTTTGAATATATTCTTTAAGATCTTCTGCCTAACATAATTTATTAATTCTTTATTTATAGCTTTGCATGAATTTGCCTTTTTTAGCCTTCTATAGTATAACCCTGCCTTGATCACATTTATTAGTGCCTTTTCGACTTGCTGGAAAGTGGGCTTGACTTCAGATAAAACTTCTTGGATAGCTTGATTTTGATTACTCATTATATATATATTTATTATTATATATTACTTATAAAATTGTTTTATTTAAATAATTAATTCTGTATAAGAAAAAAGATTTTCATTATGTATGGTGAATATACTTGCTTATTTATCAACTATTTTGGTAAAATTTGTAGAAGAACTTGTATGCATAAAGAAGGGTGTTCTATTCATTAGAAATATGTTCAAAAGTTAGCTGATAAGCAACTTACTTCTTGTAAGAAATGTGTTAGACTTAAAGTTCTGGAAATTTAAAATCATAAATTGGATAAATTATATCAATTTAAAATACAAGTTAAACTTACTAAATCATATTCTAGTCTGTGTCCTATTTATATAAAAGGGTTTTACATTTTCCAGTACTATTAGAGATTGCGGTCTAGTGCTCTAATGAATGGAAATTAGTCTATTAAAATTTTAGTACTCCCTTCAGAATTTTGATATTTCACTCGAAATTTTGGTATCTCAGAGGTTAGACTTATCAAAGATATGACTTTTTTTGATCCTGAGTTGTGTAAAGTAAATGGCTCTAGAATTGTTTCCTGTATATTATAAATTTTTAGTACTATATTCAAATTTTTTGATATCCTAATATCATTTTTTGATACCATATTCGAATTTTTTGATATCCTGATATCATTTTTTAACCCTGAGCTTTTTGAGGATAAATTGTCTTTAGAATAGTTTTTTATATATTAAGAAATTAATAATATACTAGAATATAGTCTAGAGCTTTTAAAAATGAATATGCATACACATAAATTTTGGTACCCACCTTGAGATGGATACTAAAATTTAATCATGTTAGATGATAATAAATCCTTTTTAGAATTAATTTTAGAATATCATAAATAATATTATACATAGAAGGTTTGTAGAGACTCTATGAGCTTGGCTTCAAACCTTCAGTTCTTACCAATCTCATATTATCTTGAACTCAAACAGAATGGTATATTTTTTTGGTATATTATTTGAGATTAAAATTGGGCTAGAAAGGCTATAAGAGATTGTTTTATTCTTGGTATCCTGTGAGGTAATTTAATACCAAATTTGATACCAAATATTTAGATAGCGAGAAAAGCTTAAATTTGGACTAAAGTTTTAAATTTAATAGAGGATTTATATAGCTAGAAGACTTTGAAAATAAGATTGAGACCTTTTTAAATATAATTTCGGATTTTGACTTTAGAACCCCTTTTTTTGTACTACTTATTTAAAAAATTTTATAATTAAAAAAAATCTAAATTATTTTTATTAATTTAAAGTATAATAAATAACTAATTTTATAATAATATTTAATTATTCATATACAATATATGATATTTAATATATTTTTATAATAAAACTATATTTTTGTAATATTTTTTATATTATAATATATTTGTATTAAAGCTAATCATTATATAATATTAAATAATTATAGTTTAACATTAAAAATTAATATATAATATTATATAAAATTTGTAACTTAAAATAAATTCATAAATGGTTTAAGTTAAATAATATTATTATAATTATTTAAAAATTATAAGTGAAATTCATAGTGATATTAAAGATTATTCTTAAAAATAAATACAAAAACAAATATTAAGATATTTTTAAGATTATGCTTCAGAGACTTTAAATTAATATAGCAAATTAATACAATATTATATAATAAATTTATTAACAATTAAAAGAAATTACAAATAAATAAAAAAGGTTTACAGATAAATTTAAATAATTATAAACAGTTATAAAAAATAAGTTTTATACTTGATTAATTATATTTTTTTATTAAATACAATAACAAGTTTATTACTTAAAAAAATAATACTTTATTAATATTGAATTTTAAAAAAAATACAGAGATATTTATATGTTAAAAAATTATAAAATAAATTAAGCTAATATATTTGATAGAAATAAAATTGAACTATCACTAAAAATAAAGTTACTATGTTAATAAGTTAACAAATCTGCAAGTAATAAAATTAATATAATCTAATATATTAAAAATTAATTGATATTTGAAATTTATATGATTATCTTAAAAATAAAATTAATTAACATTAACTGATTTATATAAGAATCTTTAAGGAAATAATATTGATATCATGATTATCAAATAATTTTTATCAAATATTTTACCTATTATAATAATATAAATTAAATTATTTATTATATTAATTTTATACTAAAATTTTATTATTTAATAAATATAATAAAAAGCTTATATTCATAATTTTAAGATTTTATTAATTTATTATAATAGTTCATATAAAATAATTAATTTTATTATTAATTAATTAAATTAAAAAATTATATTAAAATTAAATTATTAAAAAAGCAAATATTATTTAATATAAAAAAATAATAATTAAATAATTCTAAGTTTTTTTTTTAATATATCATATTATTAAAAAATAATTTATTTTAATAGTAAAAATATTCATTTTTAAATTTAATAATCAAAAATAAACTTATACTATTTTATATTATTTTCATATAAAATATTTATTTAATAATAAACAAAAAAAAATTAAGAAAAAAAAACTAATTATATTAATTGTAAATATTATCATTATATAGTAATTATTTATATTATTTCAAGATAAACAAATATTATAATATATCTATAAAATATAAAATTTATAAATTTTTATAAGATATAATATTAATACTATATAATTTATTAAGTTTTATTAAATAGTTTTTATTTAATAAAAAAAACTATTTAATATAATATATAAATGTTATAATTATAGTTTTATTTCTAATAGAAAAAACTTTTTACTTAGTAAATTTTCTAGTATATATAATAATAAGAATAAATATATTTTAAGATTTAAAAATTTAATATATAAATAATTTTCAATAATATTAATAATATAATATTAAGAAGATTCAATAAGATAATTATTAACATATTGAATTTTTAAAAATTCAGGTTTAATATTAACTAAGGAATCAGGTAAATTTGGTAAACTATTTATTTTAGTTTTTTTACAATTAAGATAAATTAAGGAATTTGGTAAAGTTGGTAAACTTATTATTAAAGTATTAGAACGCTAAAGATTTATTAAGAAATTAGGTAAAGTTGGTAAACTTGTAATTTTAGTATTGACATAAGAAAGTTCTGTTAAGGAGTTTGGTAAAGTTGGTAATCTAGTTATTGGAGTATCGGAACACCAGATTTTTATCAAAGATTTGGGTAAAGTAGGTAAGCTAATTATTTGAGATATATAGCAATATAATCCTGTTAAGGAGTTGGGTAAATTTGGAAATCTAGTTATTGAAGTATTGTTACACCAGAGTTCTGTTAATTTTCGATATCTTCCTCCTAATTAATAGTATCTTCGTAAATAAATTTTGTTTAGGTACTTCAATGTTTGACTCTAATTCTTCTATATTCATCTGATCAGCCCAACATATAAAAAAAATCTTATTATTAAAAATCTACTTGGAAATATATATTATGTAATTAAAATATATTTACCGGTATAAATGATCACATATTTTTCAGTTGTATCAGGAAACGATCCTTTCTCCAAGACCTAGTGCAATTTATATATCAAATTCTTCACCTTTAACATAAAAGGGAGTACGACCACTAAACAGTTCCCATAAAAGCACGCCAACACTAAACGCTTTTCGTATAGTTTAAATTGTCGCGAAATAATATCACTCGTTCGTCTATTAAAACTTTTTGTCAGTATACTAAAGCTTTTGAAAGATTTGTAGCTGCAAAATTCTTTCGATAATCCAAATCGGCTATTTTAATAAACACCATGATGAATTAATATATTGTCATAATGCTATAGGCATATACATAAAATGATAATTAATAATTGACAGCAATAATAACAAACCAAATCACGATGTATAATTCCTTCTGTATGTAAACACACAGCATAAACCAAATGGAATGCAAAGTTGCATTCATCTTCCCAAGTAGCTTATGAAAATTTTTTCAAATCGCTTCTACATAAACCGCCATCAGCATATTCCATTACTAGCCAATAATTTTCTAATTTTTTTTTCAATAATACATAAATGAGTTAAAATATAATACAAATATAAAAATGAAAATATGTCATTTTTATTATAAACATTATGATATTAATGGTTAAAATTAATTATGCTTCATTATACCCTCCAAGTATTTCGTTTCTACCTTTTAATAATTTTTAACATTATGAAATTTAATTATCGCAAAGTTCATGGAACTTTCTATGTAAGTCCATGCAAAATAATAATTTAAACTCATATTTAAATTTTATTTCTTCCTCTACATTATTCTAATAATCCATTTCAAGAAAAATTCATGTTTATCTGTAATAATTTATGAATCATTAGTTATCTGAGGTATTGGTTTAGAATCATAGTAATATTTAATTAAGTCATCCTTTGGTAACTTATCTTGTATTGAAAAGTTTTCATAAGCCAGGATAGTTTATCTCAAACTTAATTTCCTAGAAGTTTAATTGCGGAATCTTAAAAATGGAATGCATTGTTGTATGTTGTGATTGGAAGGATCCAAAGAAAATTTTGTGGTCTCGAATGAGTCCTCATTTAAAAACATGTTCTCAAATTTGAACTCATTCATTGAAAGGTTATCATTGTGAATAAGGGGACCAAAAGTTTTCTAAAATTAATAAAATAATCATACTTAAATAATTTTTTGACATATACAGTAATTCAAATCAACTCTTTAAAGAAGGTAGTATTGAAAAATTGAAATTGAAACTTAAAAAATTATTACATAAGTGATCTTGTTTTTAAAATTGAATAATGTAAATGAGGTTTTGCGAAGAATATTGAAGTAATTTTTTGTAAATCCTTTTCGCTTCATTTATTTAATTTATTGTACAAAATATTTTGATTATTTGTTTCGCTTTGATTAAGCTTTTCTGTCAACTTACTTATCTAGAAAGAAACTATATTGTAACAAAATTTATGGTATTGTTTAAGATTTTTAGGAAATAAACAAAAATTGTTAATGTTTGGGATCAGATCATTATCTAGTTACGAGCAATATCTAATGAAAATAAATTAATTTTATACATTTTGTAAAGCTTCGCTTTTTACTTAAATAATTTTGTCGATTTCGAACTAATTCAGATGATCATATGATGTTTATTATTATTAAAGAACTAATAATAAAATCAGAAAATAAATTTCGTGCAAATTTCTATGATTTGGCTCAGTAAAAGTATTCAAGTTTCACGTTAAATAAAAAAGATAATAACTCAGAAATTCCTATTTGTGATGAATATTAAAATCATGTTGGAATAAAAAAACTCATAAAAAACACTTCCACATTTACAAAGCGACGATAGATAAAGTCAGTAGCTCTTTCAATTCGTACGGTGTAATTTATCAAGTTAAAATTTACATATGGGAGGTAAGCTATTAAAATCACGTTACGGATGATATGATTTACTATGTTCGTAACTTGATTTTAATATTAACTACTGAAAATCTCAAGGCGGTTGCTTTTATTGCCAATTTTATAACGGAGGCTATTTTTCAGGCGCAACATAAAGACTCAACTACGTTAGTTCCTTAGTATCAAATTATTTATTTCAATCTTTTACCCTGGTAAATCACGGATTATTAGATGATGAAATTTCTTTACAATTTAAATCTAGTCGTGGAAAAATACCATTAAAATTTCATACTACTATTCTTTATGAACAAAAGGATAGGATTTCTTGTAATAGTAATTATTTCAAGTGCCTTGCTTTTGATCTAATGAAATTAACTTAAATATATGAATAAAAAATCAAATACACGTATTAAATATAATACAGGTCTTGTCAAGAGAAAGCTGTAATAATTTTTATTATAAAAATGGCAAAAATCGCGGAATTAAATGAAATTAACTTAACAAGTTTTCCTTTTATAAATAAATTTCAGTGTTATAAAGATGATTTTATCACGTGAACAAGCCTCACATGATATCAAATCAATTTTTAAATTACATAGTTTTTTATATTAATAACTTTAGATAACAGCAGATCAAGAGGAGTTTACTATGATTACTAAAATAATTTACTTCATTAAATTTATTAACATGATTTACCTCGTTGACGCGAAAATAACTTTTAATAAAATTTATTATTAATTTCGTTTTATTGAATTTTGAATGTATGGTAATGAAAGTGTCTTTTTTGTCAACATTTCTTGAAAAACATCATGCAAACATGTAAGTTCGAGAATGACGGTTTTGATATGAACGTAATGGTAATTATCCCAACCACCCAGATTTAACAATTTTTTTAAAAAAAAAAAAAAAAAAAAAATTGAAGTAACAAATTTCTGTGAAAAAATATAAATGTGATTTCGCAATTAAAATTGATTTTGATACTCAAACAGAAAATGGGGTTTGGTTTTGAAGATTGATCATTCGAATAGCAATTTAAGGGTACACTAGATGCAGTAATTGTTCATGATTAAGAAAACATAATTATTGATAAATCATGTGTAATGAAAAAAAAACGCCAAAATGGTAATATCCACAAATATTGGACCTATTATAAAACTGATTTAGACAGTGTTACACATACGAATGGTGATAATTCTCTTAAGAATTTACAATAACTTTTGAATAAGCGAAGAATTATTGGTAAAAAACATAATAAATCAGCATCTTTTGTCACGTATTCTGCAGTAATTACTACAGCTTAAACCGAAGTTAATAAGTCTAATTATTACTTATGATAAAAGATTTATGGTGAATTTTTTTCATGATACGAACCCTTTTCCTTTTATCATTAACGTTTACTTTGCATAGGTGTAGCGAAATGAAACCATAAATCTCCTTGGCAACTAAAATATTGAAACTCAAATATAATAAATAAAAGTTTCAAAAGATGGTCCATTATTTAATTCGTTATCGTTTTAATATCTGGAACTGGAAACAGTTAAATTCGAGACAATTATACGTTATATGCATAAATTTTGGCTTTGAAAATATATTTAAACTCTGGTTTGAATTTTAGTTCAGTAAATAGTGAATATTTATTAGTAATAAATCAATTAAATTAGACATGCCAACGAAAAATTTTCCAAACTATAAATGAAGTTATCTTCGAAATTATATATAGACGATCGATTTAATTAGATTATTAATTTTACTAAATGAGCTTTGCTCGCAATTATAATCGCGAAAATAAATACTAAAAATTTGTAAATTATTTCATAAAAACTAAACAGTTATTTATAAATGTTGACTGGTTCAAGTTCGGTCTTACGACCGGTCCCATGAAAGTTCTAGGGACAGTTGACCGATCGGACCGATCCAACTAGTTAACGAGAGCATTCCATTTCCTGAAAATAAAGTTTCTTAATTAAGGTAAATGATTCTGGTTTGGAATATAATTTTTTGAATCAGAAATATAGGGTAGAAACGTCGCTTATTGATTAATCACGAGAGCGCTGTAAGGTAAACAAAAAAAAAAAAATATGTATCAAGCTGAATACATTTATTTTATAAATCCAATTATAGTTTTGCAACAATGTTTTTAAACGAACGAACTTACTCTCTAACATTTGATATTTATTGTTTTCTCATTTTTTATTTTTTTATTTTTTAATAAAATACCATACCAGTGATTATTAATTAATTTATTACAAGATTCGTTATTGGGAGAATAACAGCGACAATTTTTTTTCTGGTTCTTCAGATATCAATTGATACCAAAACTTAACAATAATAAGGTGAAAATTCAGTTAAAGAATAAATCTCCTTGTTCTATCAACTCAAATCTATATTTATTAAGTTTCAAAAAAATTTAAAAACGAAAAAATAATCATGCAAGAAAGATTACCTTTAAATTAATACAAATAAACAAAATAGAATGATCTTAATCACTCTATAATTAACAAAAAAAAAAATATAACATATTGTCTCTAAATCAAAAATAAAAAAAAGTGATTTGACGTTGAATATTTCAAGAAGTAGATTACATTCTCGTCCGTAAAGATTTATTTGATCTTGAATAATTCAACTATCTTCTCATGCTGTTTTTACCTTGTGAAAATGTTTAATTATTATAACGCTTCTGTTTACGGACTATGGGATGATGTGTGAATTTCATTAATTCTCGAAATTCTTCTTCAGTAACAGGTTTAAGTGTTTTCATTATTTCTTGAAATTCTTCATCTGTAACAGGTTTAATTGGTTTTCTTGATCCGATGATGGGTGTTTTTATTAATTCTTGAAATTCTTCATCAATTGGTTTTCTTGATCCAATGATGGGTGTTTTCATTATTTCTTGAAATTCTTCATCTGTAACAGGTTTAATTGGTTTTCTTGATCTGATGATGGGTGTTTTTATTAATTCTTGAAATTCTTCATCTGTAACAGGTTTAATTGATTTTATTTCAAATGATCTACTTTCTGTAGAGTTATCTTTTGAACTTAGATTATTATTTTTACGTGTAGTTTGGATTGTTGTTTTCATCAATTCTTGATACTCTTCATCTGTAACTGGTTTAATTGGTTTTTTCTCATCTGACCTTTTTCCTATGACGTTATATTTTTGTGAATATGCATTATTATAACGGTTCTGTTTACGGACTGATTTGTTGGGTGTTTTCATCAATTCTTCATCTGTGACTGGTTTATTTATTTCATTTTGTCTTGAATTCAAAATATTATCTCTCCAAATTTTCGCTTTTAATTCATTAATTATTTCTTTGAGTTGACTACTAATTTTTTCTTTTAGGTCATTAATAAGTTCTTTGGTATTTTTCTCTTGCTCCTTAATTTTTTCTTTTAAATCCTCAATAATTTCTTGCTTGGCATTAGTTCCTTCTACTTGCACTTTCATTTTTTCTTCAAAAGAGTTAAATTGAGTAGTTAACCAAGTTAATTCAAAATTTAAGTTTTGAATATCTTGCTTTTGGTCATTTAATTCATTTAATAGTTCAGTAAGTTTTCTTCCCACTAATAATCTTTTTAAATCAGTTATGTCCTTGATACCTAATTCATCCCATAGTTCGGAGAGCAACAATTGATTTTCTTCATTTTTTTTTTTTACTTTGTTCTAAATTCTCAATTCTCTGCTCAAGATTTCTTAGGTTAATCTGTAAAACCATTTGTGCAATCACTAATCAAGTTTGAAATTTTTTTTATTGTAAGTTGATCTGCCTAAAAAAAAAGCCAAACTAACATGTATTGTAGTGTTACAATGGTTACCGTTGCGCAAATGTACTGTAATCAGACAATTTCGCGGGTATTCAGTCATTCAAAGTACTTTATTTTTAAAACAAAATGAATAATTTACATTATTATACCGAACAAAAAAATATTTAAATTCTCGTAATATATAATGACACGGGAACATTTTAAATTATTAGTTGTACGTTACACAAGCTTCTCTTTTTTTACAAAAATTAAAAATAGCTATTTTTTTTTGTTATTCATTTTATTATTATTCTTATTTTTGTTAAAAGCTATTATATTCACATTTTTAATTTTCTTTATTTAGTTATTTTCAATTTAACATTAGTTTTTATAATTCTGAGATAAAATAAGGTAAATTAGGCCATAAAAAAAATATCAACACTTTCATCATTCTTCGTGTCCTCCTCTTTGTAATACCCTACACTTATATATATATTTAGTTCTTTCATCAATTTCTTTCTTATTTTTAATAGAAAAATTCGACCCGAACATTTCTCACACTAACAAGTGGCGATTCTGCCAGTCAGTAACTGCAAGAAGTAATTTATAAACGCGAACATAATGATCATTATTAAAAAATAAAAGAAAAGTTACGGAGGCAATTATCTTGATTGAGAACTACCAATCTTAATTTTACGAAAATTGTACCATCGTGGGTCGGTGAGATGAGAGATTCAAAATTGATTTAATATATCTTTCATCCCCAAAAATAAAACTATTTGATGCCAAGATATTTATAAAAATGTGCTGAAAAGGTTGCAAATAATGATTTTTTAATCATTTACACTTACTGCGCCAAAATGACACGTTCATGGAGAAATTATTGAATTAGAATGCATGTCATTTGAATTATAATTGATGATTTTCCAAAGATATTTTAAGTGATAACCAAGCGAATTTTTTCTGTCGAATAAAAAGTTAAAAATTATGGTTAATTTGACTTTATATTAATCGAATTTGAGAAATTACAAATCTTTGATGATTAGTCGAATTTCGCATCATTATTTGGGAGGTTTGCTATTAAAATCGAGTTACGAACATAGTAAATCATATGATCCGTAAGGTGATTTTAATAGCTTACCTCCCATTTGTATAACGATGACCGATGTACAGAAATAATTTGAATAATTTTAAATTTTAAATCTGTTTCAATAATCTTTTACTATGATCGACGTTCTAGTATTATGAGAATTTCAAGTTTTACTTTCGTGAGTTGAGTAATTGGTATTGCGTACAAATAATGCATAAAGGTATACAAACTTTACATGTTATGTTTTGTAATACCCACGCAAAAAGATAGGAAATCAAACTCCGGAAAATACAACATAACATACGTACTTACTTGTTACACAAGATTTTAAATCTAATCTATTAGATGAAAATTTTTTTTGATAATTTATATTAGTAATATGAATTTAAGTCGATATATAAATAGTTTATTGATACTTTATTTTGGACGTTCAAAGAAAATTCTCGATTGATGATCTAGCTATATTTCTTTCACAATTCGCCTCCTTTTAAACATTCTAAAAATGGTTGTGGGCTGAACTTTAAATAAATTTGTTTTTCTTTTCCACCTTCTAAAAAAAAACCAACTCTTCTAGTTCATTTTTTTTTTTTGTTAATAAAAAGATCTCACTAATTTAAATCAAACTTAGCATTTTCTCGGGTAAATAAATTTGAAATACAAACAGTTAATATCTTCCTATGAAATAGGTGCCGGTAATTAGGAATTTCTCTACGTAGGAAACCTTATACAGTTTGATCTCGATATAACGAACGAACTCTGGATTTACTGAACTTTTTTTTAAAAATCATTTCCATATACATAATATCATATAAAAATAAGAATTGGAATTAATTCTACCAAAAAAATCGAAAATATTTTTAGTGACGTAGTAAGTGCGTAGCGAGACCTGGGAAACAATTTAAGCCACTCGCTAAAACCTTTTTGGTTTCGACGGCACCGTTGAAACTATAATGGTCGAACTATAATAAATCTATAAATTTGTTGAAAATTTATGTAGAAACTTGTCGAAAGTCGAATGCGAAACATAAGGTTTCGACTTTGCCATTGAGATTTATCATAATATTAATTGGATTTGAAGGTCACGTGGTCGATGACTAGATTTTTTTTTACCGATAGTTATAAAATAAAAAAAAATAAAAAATTGCAACATTTAAAAAGAAAGGTTTTAGCCTTTGGAGAAAAGAAAATCTTATTTTCAAAGACGGTATATGACGTATTATGATTGCAAACAAGAGTTTATATAAAAAGCAAGAAATAAAATAAAAAGTTAAAATTCATGACTCTTCAGTCGCACACACTGTCATATACGGAAAAATTAGCTACGCAAAATTTAACATACTTTGAAAAAGAATTAAGAGTATCACACGTCCTGCTTACGCTGAGCAAATTTTAAGTTAAGAATTATGACAAATCTATTTCTTGAAATTATTCCATTATGATTGCCGACTCCGCATCAGCTTCTATATGTGATTTCATTGAAGCAATCTAGTTGCAAATTGAACTTATTCCATACACTAATTTGTCGTATTGGAAAATAATAATTTAATAATCTTTGATTTATTTGATCGCGAAAAATACATCTATAAAAAGAAAAAAAGGATAAAATAATCATTATAATAAGTTCACATAATTCAGAGGACCTCTTTTCGTGTTATTTGTGAAGTTTTTTATAACTTTTTTTAAATAAGTGATGACTAGGGGTTCCGGTTTCGGGTTCTGCTTAAGTAATTAAAAATTGAGCATTTATACAATGGATAAATTTTGTGACGATAACTATCCGCGAGTAAATAATCCGGTGGTTTGTGGGTTGTCTCGCTTTGCTAGTATGAACAAAAACAGTATGAAGAATAATTTTATTGATATATAATAGCATTTTTATACAATAAGTTTTATGTTATTTTTAAAAGAAATCCAAAATTGCATTGCATAATTTTTATCCAATCAATTATTTCCAGTTTTTTTTACAAAAAAAAAAAAAAAATTTTCCATGTCGCTTAGAATTTTCTCCAAATTTTCTTCGGTTGGCTAAAATTTTCCTATTAATGCTGAAATTATTGCAAATTTTTCTAATAATTATCCCTTAACTTCTTCTTTCTTTCAAAATTATTTCTTTAAATTTTTAGATTATTAACGATGACCCTTACAAAAAAACAGAAGCAAAGAAATTGGGCAAAATTCAAGGAATCTCATGCTCGTAGAAGAAGAGAACGAATCCTTAATGAAAGTGAGTTATCTTTTAGGTATTTTGTTAGAAAATAAACTGCGATTCTTACGATCATTGTTATCGTGTTGGAATTTGTTATCGTTTTGAATGAGATTGAATAAATATGACTTAGTTGAGTAGTTTTCCTTAAAGAAGAAAACGAACGGCTTCAATCGACAATAAAATTTCAGCAAGATCAACTGTCTATAAGGATATTAAGATTCAAGAACTTCACGCTGCTAATGTAGAATTACGCCTTGAAATCGATGATCTTCAATTGAAAAATTTAAAAATTATTTGACATCAGTTATGTATCCAATCACCCAATTGTTTATACAATATTTGTCATATAATTTGCCTCTTAAAAAATTTCTTTTATACTTTTCCAAAATATAAATTCCAACAATAGTTTGTAATAATCGAAATTTTATCAAAATTCAGATCGCTTTATAAACAATAATTTTTTGCAATTAAGTAAGCTATTAAACAGTTATCAAAATAGCTAACATCTTAAATTTTATTCGAGTGTGTATGTTTAATATTCATTTTGTTAGCGGTGAATTTTCTACCTTATATAACAAAGTGAAACTGTTTTAATATAGTTCGGTAGGTATAGAAATACTAAAATACGATACTTTGGTTAAATTAATTTATTTCTTTAAAAAATTGTTGTGATTTAAACGAGAAAAATTAACTGTTTTTATGAATATTTAACTAAAAGCATTGCGCTATAGAACCCAATATTGATAAAAATATTCACATTGGTTGAAAACAAGTATTGGACGTTTATACTGAAAAATTATGTTACACAAAATATAATTTTATTGGATCGCCCCTTTTTTACTTTTTACTAAAGTGTGTGAGTAAAAATAAAATTTATTTAATAAGGAATGCTTTTACCAAATCTCAAAAAATTCGTACATCAAACTTCACACCATAATTTAAGATATCAAATTACTATGCATCATTTCTTTTTAACTCAAGATCTTAATTTTATCTTCTACTCTGACCCCATTAACTCCATTAAATTTTCCGGAAACAATAAATTCATATTTTTGGGGGTCTTTAAGTTGTTCCAATACGGAAGTAAGTTGGGGATGGTCGCGTTTGCACTCATCCCAAAGCCATGGTTCTCTGCAAATTTCAATATATTAAAATGATGCAGGAGATTAACAACAAAAATTACTGAAGATGCATTTGTCTTTACCTGGTTTGCATCATTTGATTATAGATTTCGGTAATGTCTCCAAAATCGTGTCTCCAATGACTTCCAGAGCCTCTTTCTTGGAAATCTTTGTGATAATTTTTCTCCGGGCTATCAGATCCCCACAACAAGATACCACGCATCCTTAAACTTGTAGAAACAACAAAAGTTGCAATATAATTAATGGTAACTGATTGATCGTGGATAATTGAAGTGACCTCAACCCTATTCGAATTAATGAAAAGTTTGGCTTCACACGAGTTTGGTACAGTCAATCAGAAATACAAGATTTGATGATTACCTCTTTCCAGCTGGAATGTTAATTTGATTTGTGCTTGATTCAGTTCTAGTTAGCGTTTTTGTCCCACCATCTTTTTTAAACAACTCTTGCGAAAACCCAAATTTGAGACTAATTAATGCTTCCCATATGTCCTTGACGCCTTGCTTATAGGAGGCCAAAGCCTCTTGGTTGAAAGTGAACTTCTTACTTGACTCCCAAATCAATTGCTCAGTTACTGCGTAATCAACTTTCCTGGTTATAGTTTGCCTGAATAAAAAAAATAAATATATTATTATAAGCGCAAAGTTCAGATTAAACATGTGAGCATCATAAAGATCCATACTCTGTAGGGTAAGGTCCATAAATCGTAGTATTGACTTGACGCGGGCTGACGTATTCTATAATCGGGTCGGATGTTATTAAATTTTTGAAGTTGGTCTTGATATCATAGAGTTCATAAGATGGTAAATAGTCCTTGCGCTTCACATCCTTCCTGGTGCTTACCCACATATAACCATTAGCTGTACGCCTGTACTGACCAGTTCCTATTAGGGAAATCAAAGGTTGTCAATTTAACTAGTATGCAAATTTATTCCATTCAATATCGCAATAAAATTAAATCCATACCAGCCCATGCTAACCCTAAATATTCGGCCAACTGATCAACGAGAGTAAGTGTTGATTTCATAATTTCATGGCAAATTATTTCAATATCTTTGCCATTATGAAGTAATGATTTAATGGATCTCCTGACATTGGCCTCCCAGGATTCTATCTCCTTTAATCGTTTGTTCCAAACGATATCAATAGCAGGTCCACTTGCTGCAAGACGATAGCTATTATTGAAAGTATTGAGATCTTTTTGAAATTTTTCCAGTGCATCGTAGTCTCCCTTCTTTACTTTTTCACGTATAAATTCGACCTTTTCGTCCCATAGCTTGTTACAACATTCGTTTGAAGATTCTTTGTTGTAACTGATCATGTATTCTTGTTCCGCGTTGATACTATTCACAAGGACGTTCTTCCGTTGCTGGACATAAGCTTCTGAAGCCCTTCTTTTACCGGAGAGATCTGCAGTTTTGGAATCAAATTTCGAATGGCATTTGACCTTGTTATCGTATAGTAATGCTTTGGATATGAAAATATATGTTGATTAGTCGAAGCGAATTTATGCCGTATGAATCAATAAAATTACGATTTGCTTACAGTCTAACTCTACTTCTGACATTGGTATATTCGGTAATTTGACATTGACTTTGAGTTTATATTCATGAAAAACGTTATCATATATTTCATCGACATTCTTTTTGAAGTCATCCATGTATGATTTTAAGTACGCGTCATATTGATTACGGAATTCTTTGTCCCTGGAAATAAGCTAGTGAAAAGACAAACCAAATTCTTAAGAATTAGATCGTGTAAACGCGCATACAAATCAACACAAAATTTGGAACTTACAGTAACTCGGAAAATGTATCGGTTATCACGAATGATGAATTTTGGAAATCTTACAATATTTTGATCATACTCTCTCATTATATCATCTCTGCACTTGGAAGTGATTATATCAAACGGTTCTGGCTCCCCATGAAGACTATCATTACAACGCACAACGTATTCTGCCATTAACTGTTCACATGTTTGCTTGTAATTTTCCTTGGCATTGTTTAGGCTTAATTCGTTGGTACATATTAAATCATCGGCGTATGAATGAATTTTGTCAGAAAACGTTTTGATAATGTCATCAGCTATTTTTACTGGATATTTGGCCTTGGATAAATGTTTGCAGAAATCTCTTTTTGAACGTTTAATAATATTCTTTGTTTCAATCTTGATGTGATACTCTTCGAAAGGCATTTTGTCGTTTGAAAATAATTCATCGAGTTCGCTTTGAAATTTTTCCTCACCGGAAAATAAAATATTTCTCGCAATCGTTTCACTGATATCTTTGTTGTCAGAAAAATCATTTACTTTTAATGTCGATTCCTGAACCTGTAATTGATCTGAACATCGACAAACATGTCGATTGTCTTCCCTACTCTGGTTGATAGGATGTGAGGGAATAATTTGTAGATTACTCTCGCTACCAGCAGACTTTACGCATCAGAAAAAGTGAGAGAAGGAATAATCAAAAAAGTAAGGTGAGCGCAGAAAAAATTAGAGAGAAAAAGAATTGAAAAGAAAATTGTAAAGAAGCCGTTCGCTTTACCAATTTTATCGATGAATTGACGTGATTTGTTTCAGTTACAGTCGCCATTTTTTAAGTTTTTGCTACTTCCGCTTGTTACAACCATTATTTATGTTAAAATTTTTGTGATTTGGTATATGAAGGCTTGCCATGTGATATAAATCTCACTTTCAAAATATTTCATAAAAGGTTAGCATGAAAGATTTTCCAATTTTGGCATTCAATGAAAGTTGAGATGGGTTATGCTTTTGATATATGCAATATTGTCGGGGGTTCTTCATATATTAAACTCCGGAAATTGATACCCCCGAGTATTCGTATACTTTAATGCTGCCGATCATAACATTACATCAATTAACCGCATGCATTTTTATTTTGATTATCTAGCACATCATCTGATCAAAGATAATTGAATCAAATCACAAAAAGATCCTTACGAATGACGCAGCAATGATCAACGCGAGTCAGAATTCGAGTTAATATTTAGAGTTAACTCGATACAATATAACTTAAATTTCCATATAACTCGAGTGATTCCTAATTCAAGTGTTGACTCGTATTTGGTATTTTAACAATTTTTAACGTTATAAAGAATAAATTTTTTATATTTCCACACTTTCAATTGATTTTTTAATTGCGTTTCATAATGCATGGATAAAATGATTTATATAACAAAAATTCATACTTTTGCCTACAAATGCATAAAAATTTTATTGATAAATTAACCAATAAAATTCTCCATCGGACTTGTCCGTCCATAATGAATTCATGTAGCATATGAATCAAAATACAACAACGTATTTAAATCAAAAAGTTTCAACACTTTTCATTCTATATAACATAAAAACAACTTTGAATTTATTTAAAAAAATATGGATTTCAGAATTGCTTATCTTTACAAGGATTTAGCACTTTTATTAAATTGTATCATGATGAAAAAACTTATTAATTACAATCAAATAAATCCTAGGTAAAATTTTTTTAAGATTAATTTTGTTTTTAAAACAATAATTTCATTTTCTTTATATGTTGTCTTTTCTCTTATAATTAAAAATTTTATACTTTTAATTAAAATACAATAATATTTTGAGAATTAAATTCAAAAATAACTTTTTTTGTTAGATTGCATTTTCAATCTAGTTACTTGCCTTCTTTCTTACTCATCAAATAGATTCATATATTAACATTAGCATCTTCATATCTAAATACATTTTATCTAATTGAAACTTTTTAAATTATAAACTTTTTGTACTATAATCAGAATTCAAAAATATCACTTTAAATTAGCTTGATATGGATGGTAACGGTGGGTCATGGGCCCATTTAACGGAGCAATTGATCGACCAACCGGTTTAATTTATCGTTTTAAGCTTATTAGAATGTTTACTTTTTTACTTTATCTATAATTCTTCATGTATTTTTTTAAACATAACTATGAATTTATTTTTAATTTTTGTATTTTGATAATACGGCGGGATATAAAGTTTATTTAACATTACGATAAAATTCAAGATATATCATCTGCGTTAACGAACTTATAAAAAATTTTTATTGTCAAATTACCAGATTTATTTTTCAACTTGAATATGTCGATCCAAAACCAACACCAACTTTAAATTAATTCATTTTTGAAATTCTTCCCAAAATTATTGAGAATGTGATAGTGGACTCATCGGATTTAGTATCTGAATTCATGAAGAAATGAAAAATTGTGAAAAGAAATTTTGAAGAAACTCATTGAGTTGAAATGGTACGAGAGTCATCGATACATTATTTTAAATAAAAATATTAAATACTCAGAGTGACTTTATCAGTAATATTACGATTTTTGGAAAAGGAAATTATATGAGGTTGAGCTATGCACTACATTTTTTTTTGATCTGTACAATGCTTATTATCATATTTATATCCATGACAACATCAACTACATCAGTAATGTATATTGGAAGCTTCCAATCTAATTTCTTGGATATTGGACATAGTAATTGGAAGCTTACAATGGAAGCTTCCAATACTTCTAATACCAAAATTAGTAATTTCATTAATTTTATATAAATAGTTAAAATATATTTGATAATCTTTATATTCATTTTCATCATCTCTAATGAAAAGACTTAAAACTCACTGTCTTACAAAATATATAAAGATTTTAGGAAAACTAAATTCCTGCAACACTTATGTAGCATGTATTGCTTGTGTTGAAAAACTAGAAAATGATGAGCTTTTAAAAAATACTTTTACAAATAAAAAACCACAAGTCAAAAATCATTTAATAAACTGTCCATATTTTCAAGAAAAAATTGAAAGTCAAGAAGAACTGAATGATATTATCAATTTAACAGATAATAAAATAGAAGAAACAAATCAAAAACGGCAAAAAGTAAATAATGATTCAGGTAAAAATAATAAAAAAAGTTAAAATATTTAAAATTTTTGTAATATAAATTCAAAATTTTAAATTTTAATTAGTATAAATAGATTCAATAAAGTTATTTGAATCATTTTTATCAACATCATCATTTACACATAACTCTAATTTTAAAAAAAATACAATTACAAATAATCTTATTCAAACTCCTACTAAAAATAAAATACCAAAATTTGAACGTCTTTTATTAAAAATGTCAGTAACAAATAGTTTTTCATTTTAGTAGGTAGATCATCCAACAACCTTGGAATTTTTTGAATTTTAAAATTCACACCTTATTTTATCAAATAGACAATCTTTGTCTAATTGTATATTAACAAGAGAAACTGAAAATTTAAATATTTTAAGAGATGAAAATTTTATTAATGATAAAATAGAAGTTGTATTAGCATTTGATAGATAGAAAAATATTTTAAAACAATATATATTTGGATCATTATTAATATCATCTTCAGGCAAAATTTTAATATGGGATGCTTCAGATATTAGTAGTAAATAATGAACTGGCAGAAACTGACAGACCTGTTAAATATGACATATATATTAAATATGCCATATCTGCTAAATATTATATATCTGCCAAATAGGACATATATACCATTTATTATATCTTTATTATATCTATCTTTATTATTATTTATATCATATTTAACATAATTAGCATATCTGTTAGCTCTGCTATTATTATCAGTAGTATCATAAATATCATAGATTTTCTTTAATTGTAATTTTCTTATATAAAGAACATGAAAATGCCCTGAAAATTGAATAGATTATAACATTGTATTTAATATACATTTAATAATAATAATAAACACTATTAACATTTTGCAAATATAAAACTTATAATTTTATTCTTATTAACTAAATAAACTCTCTAATAAATAGCATGTTAAGTTGATTGGATTTAAGTTATAGCTATTGTCTTTCTGACTTTAAATCATAATTAACTTATTCGACAAAAAGAGTAATGTTAATAAGTGGTGATTCCTACTAGGTTACTATTGACTTTATATATAATGGACTACTAACAGATTTAGCGAAATATATAAAAGTTTAAATTAAAAAGAGAAATTAAACAATAGAATTGATTTTATACATAACGGATCACTAACAGATTTAGCGAGATGTATAAAATTTGAGTTAAAGAAAATTGAGAAACAGAATTGATTTTATACTACTAACAGATTTAACAAAGTATATAAAATTTGAAGAAATTGAGCAATGAACTACCCTTTCTAAGGAAAGTAAATTGAGTAACATATTATTCTACTAAAAAGAATTAAACAGACGAACTTGCAAGTTAAAGTATAAATCTATAATATTTATTTTGAAATATTTTGAATTATTTAAAACAATTTAATCAAGCTAAAACATAAATTATTAATTAAAATATAAATTAAAAACAAATCATATGATATATGATGCAATATGGCATCATTTGATGAAATATCTAAAAAAGGAAACACAAAAGAAATTTTAAAAGAAGCAAATTCTATAATTGAATTAGAATTTAACTCTTAGAAAGATCATGTAAAAGAAGAAGAATTTTCAGATGAATTAAAAGTAAAAGATAACCTAATACAAGTGTTTATTAAAACTTTTTAAGCTACTTTAATCAATGATGATGGATCTGAAGCGAATAATGAATCAAAAAATTACTGCAATATTGTAATCTATATTTATTATAAAGAAAATTCTGATACTATTGAAATGGAAAATAAAAATAGAGAATTAGTTGATAGGATAATTAAATTAAAAATTGAATTTGAAGCATTAAGAAAAATATTAGTATTTAATTACTTATAATTGTATCAACTAGCAGCAAATGATTTTGAATATCCAAGAAGAATATAAATACATTCTAACGAACACAAAGTATCTAAAAGAGTAGAGTATCAATGGAAAAATAAAAGAAAAAAAATTTTAAAGTTTAATTCATGTCATACGATTATACTATACCACTGATTTCAAATATTCTTACAAGAATAATGAATCAAAACAAAGTCTCAGAGGTAATTTACTTATGATCTACGTATTTACTAAGCTGAGAGCTTCATAATGGTATAAATTATATCCCAAACAGATTACCAGATGTTGAGATATTGAAAAAATATAATTATTTAAATTTAATCATAAGAAATGAATATGAAATACTTTAAAAAAAAGGAAAGGAGAGAACAAAATAAAAGCAGAAGTGTCAACTATGTGGATAGCAGTTTTAAAATAATAATAGATATAACCATAGCATTTATTCTTATTATATTGGCAAGTTTTTATGAGACAAATATATTGTAATTTTATTAAAAAAAAAAAATCTAATTTAATTGATCTTCATAAGGAATAAGATACACTGGGAATTGATAATGATTACTGTTTTCTATAAGTTGATTTTGTATAAAATTAAAATGTCTTTAAAGTCGCTCCAAAGTTTCTAAATTGACATTTCCTTCTCGACAATGTTACATTAGGTTTCATAACTTCAAATAAAATCTTAAAAGGGTAAATAAAACTAAGACAATTACTCAAGGAATCACGGGTGAGGATTCAGTATAACGTCGAAGAATAATTCTCAATAATAAATATGTGAGATAAACACAAATAAACACAAAGATAACTCAAAGATATTTCAGAGATTACA